TTGGCCATGATGTCTTCTGAGCTATTATCAGGGTGATGATAGCGGATGATGCTTGTGCAGCATTCACAAATACCACCCAAAAGAACTCTTCATTGAACTTATTCTGCTCTCACTTTTTACTGCTCACCGACATCCAATTGAAGCAGACTGCAGACGGCTAAACACAGCACTTCTCAGCACTACACTGCAGCGAGAGGTCACAATAACACGCCCCGACTGCGACTGCGTGGCGTCCCGCTGGGCTGTATCAGCTGTTCAGTATCAGCTGTTTATACTTTTCACTGCGGTGACTTGTCGCGGTGCGCTTGCTAGCCGCACTCCGCAGCTCAGTTATTCATCAACCAATGGCGTCGGACAACCAATGACGTCAGTCGTCGCGAGATGAGCACAGCTGGCCTCCATGCACTGATAGGGCCGGTCGGCCCCTACTTCCCGGAACACGGCGGAACACGATCGGCCGCCGCCGCCGCTGCGAGCATTATACAAACACGGACGCCAGAGCGAGCGTCACGTGACCTGAGGCACGTCCGGCGACATTATCGCCAGCGTTTAGGGGCTCTCTGTCTCTTTGCCACACGTGTGTGTACTGTGTATGATTGCGCAAGATAGTGAACACTCCTAAGCATGCTTCACAAATCACAATTTATTGTGCCAACATGCTGACAAATAACAGCACAAGAGCAGAATCAGGGCAGCACTTATGTTTTGACATTACCTACATAATCCGGGCCCTGCTGGGGGAGGGGGGGGGGGGGTGAACACTCCTCCGGTTTTTGGCACACGGACAGTCACCGCATCATACATCTCTTCCGCACATGCTGTGAAATTTTCAGACCAAGGTCACTCAAGGTCAGGTCACCTGGTCACGTCAAGTGGCCACGCCTAAAAAAAATCAGTGCCCGTCATAGCTACACCGAGTGGTCGATCGCCTTGAAACTTTCATCAGTTGATATGAGCAACAATAGGTACAAAATGTTTATCTCGGAATTTCGCTATCGATGACCAAGGTCAGGTAAAGTAAGGTCATCATATACACAAAATGACATGACAGTCGATATTATTAGGCATGTTTTTCCATCAATAAAAATTCATTCGCACGCAGGGTTGTATACCAATCAAGTCGATTGAATTGATTGATTTGTTTCGACGCGTATTTTGAGTTGATTGGATTGAGTCGATTGACTTTTCGAGATGACTGGTTGACTGACTCGTTTGACTTCAGCGACTGGTTGACTGATTTGATTCCCGAAAATTAGAGTGACTTGTATGATTGAGTCGCTTGAATGGAAGGTTCAAATAAGTTTTAGTTGCCGAAAAATAATGACACCAATTGATGACATCAAAAATCACAAAACTACACTGAAAACTGCTTGTCATCACAACTGCAATATGGGGTAGAGGGCCAAATAAAGAACAGGGCCTATACATGAACAGCCAACTTTGACTTTCAACTGCAATAACTGCTCCAATCCTGGTGATAGAACCTGGCGATGCACCTACCTACCTTTCTGCACTCAGCAGGAAACTTTTTTTTTAAATCCAGATGATAAAGTGCAAGGCCCTATATACTAATAAAGTGTGATTAATTAATAATTCACATCTCCACATCTCCTCAGAAACAACCCACTGAACTCATAAATATCTGAAACCCCTACAAAAATAACTGAAACAAAAGCGCCGTTTTCGTCTCGCTAATTACGTTTGCGTACCTAATTAATAGCTAATTTGCTGCATTGTTTAATATGCAGCAGAACGTTTGTTGATCCTTTTCTCCTGAGAGCCTAAGCATAACATATTCAATATATTTCATTTTCCTTAAAATATTTTACTGAATATTATTAAGTGGTTTTAAATGAAATGCCTAATAATTAAAACGAAATTGGTGTTGCACAACCGATTTATTTTATGATGATCTACCATACTACATGATAATCAATGACGTCATCTTACCAGAAAATCAAAAGACGTAGAATAAGGATTTATAAAAGCTTAGCATACTTATTGGCAAAACGTTTTCTTTGATTCGCAGTCGCACTGTGCCGTTTTCGCGTTTTAATTTTCCTTGTTCCTACTTCCTTTGTCCTTAACTTATCCTGTGGTTCCAGAGTCCCTGTCCTCGCCATTTCCTTTTAAATATATTTTTAATCCTCATCCCTATCCCCCAGTCCTAACAGTTTCAAATTGTATTGCAATAAAATGTTTTGAATTCTTCACATAGGTACCTAACATTGACATGCCACGTCCAGAGTCGTGGACCGCTAAATACTTCAAATCTCTTCCTTCCCAATCTGACAACATCCCACGTCTCAAATGCACATTGTGTGGAAAGATTTTTCAGGCTACCCGTCAGTCTCTGTCTAACCGAAATCGTCACATGCAGGTAAGATATTTATTTCTATTTCCCCATGGTTAATATGTTATTGATGCATATTATCCATTAAAATAGACATGGTGTAGGGTAAATGGCCAAATCACAAACACTGCCAAAATCCGAGCAGCCAACTTTCAACTGCATTATCTGATATTTAGTGTAAATTGAGTTGGAATATGGCCAAAATTAAATCGACAACTTTTAGGTGAAAGGTGGTGATTTGGGTTAAGGGGCGAGTCAACTACTGGGTTATTTTGCACCCATTAAATGAATCTTCTGCTACAATTCTACCCATTGAACCTCAATATCATGATCCACCTGTCCATCACTAGGTAGTAGGTATCCTTCCTTATTATATAGAAACTTTGAATGGCATGGCAATTAATAATTTTAAATGACAATATTTTTATGTTTCTTCTGTAGGTAGGTAGGTAGGTAGGTAGGTACACCAGACTGCTATGGACACTTTTCCAAGTTGGTGGGGCAAAAAACCTAATGTTTATCTTGGTTTGAGTCGTTTGATTGAGTTGATTGATTCCTTTCATTGTCGCGTTTGAGTCGATTGAATCAATTCCCGAAAACTGCTCTGACTTGATTGATTTGATTGGTTTCCCAAATTTGTCGTGATTGAATTGATTGCTATTGATTGAGTCGTATACAACCCTGTAATCGCACGCCATTGTCACAAACTCTCATGTCAATATATTCGTTGGCATTACAACAAAATTGATCCTTATCCCTCATCAATGAGTCAGCATGCCTACAGGCACACCGGGATACGGGGAACCATGCATTTTGGAGATGTTGGGCCCGTGTCCAATGGTGACAGTGCCCTACTCAGCCTCGAACTATGCCCCAGCCGACTATGTGACCTGTTTGTATTGATTGGTACCGTGACCTTGGACTAGCGCCCAAACAGTGGGCACTGGCACGCTATGCTATGCGGTGTAAGGTATAGGTGCTCAGTGCTCACCGCCGTCACGCCCATGCCGCTGACGTTTACCTGCTCTGCGTTTCGTCTCTCCAATGCATGTCGTGTTTTCTCTCTATCATTGATGCCCCATTTATGTATTTCTGACTCAGGATCGACATAAGCCCATCATGTGGACCCGCCTGTAAGCAAGCCGAGCTGAATGTATCGATCTGAATGTGACTTTCGATGTTAGCTCGTTGGTGCCGGGTGTTTCGCCGCGCCGCGCATGCTCATGACTCAATTGGTTGGGGTGCTAGGGACCGCGGGGCATGTACCGTTTCCCAGCCCAAAAATTGCCCTGAATGCCATGTAGTTGCCTTCATTTTTGCAACGTCAGATTCTCCGGCCACCTGCCTTTGGTTTGCCATTGTTACCGTCACGTGCTGTGGCCTTGTGCCCGTTTCAGGCCCGAACCCCATACCACCGCTGCTGCACTACCGGAACGGCACCTTTGGCGTGACTGCATTCAGTGGCAAATCGGTTCTGTGTGTGTGAGATTGCCTGGTATTTGCCGTCTCAGTCTAATCCAGATGCCGCGATATGTATGTACATACTTCCCGGTGTTTTGTGTACGACGTGTTCCGGCGTTTCGCTGCCCCGATCACTTTATTGACGACACAGTGCGTTAGACACTTTATTGACGACACGGTCATTACCGTTTGTAGTGTCTACCGATCCCTTCGTCCGGGCCCGGCGCCTTGGCCGTCCATTTCAGGCCCCAGCTGAGGCCGCCGCAATTGCTGGGCGGGGTGGACGCCGTTGCGGGAATGACCTTCAGACCAAGGTCGGTTATCATTACGCAGCCCAGGCACCCGGCATCGCCTCGCAGTATTTTTCTCCGTTCCGTGCGGGTTCAGGTGGGGTGTGTGGGCTAGAGTCCTGCATAGGCCGGCTGCAGCCACGGCTGGCTGCATCCTCGTGGCTACGATTTGTGGCTATGAGGGCTGGGAAATCTGTCATACTTTCATAGCTTGGTAGGTAGCATAAATCGCGTTGCTATAACATTTAGCAATCCAAAGAACAGCCTATAGCTGTTTTCACAACGGTTAACTGGCAAATATTTGGTGTTTGGTGCAATTTTGTCAAATTAGGTTCATCGTAGCCCTGCTCATGACGGAATATCGGGCACCTATGTGATGGAATTTGAAAGCAAAGAAGCAAAACAATCGACATTTTCACTCGACAAGTTGAAACCCTATTTGTTATCAGCTTCTAAAATTTATCGGATACCGAATTCATCAAACGGATCAAATAGGTGTCCAATGAAAAAGGTGCCCAATGTTCCGTCCTGAAAAGGGGCTACTGTTTCTTATTAGGGGTTTAATGTAGTAGTGCAGTTGTTGCTTACATGCCTGATTCACGAAATTATCAGGCATTATTTTCATAAAAAAAAACTTTGAAGAAACAAATTAATGATATGAAGATATTTATTGTAAAAGAGTTTTGGCTAGGTTTTATCCAGTTTGCTGCAAGCGCCAGACATCCCGTCGTGACAATGCAGCTAACCAGTTTCACTGCCTCGCATGCAGCCGCGACATTCATTCGGCCCATCTCATCGGTGCACCCGAGGCGTGGGACCTTGGCTCACCAGGCCGACCATATTCACAGCGCCGTGGGGGGGGGGGGGGGGCTGCCAGCGCGTCAACTTCCACCGCTGAGTCGTGAGTCGCCCGTCGTGCAGTTAGGACACCGCTGCGCTGCGCCGCTCAGCCACGCATACAGGACGTGACCAGGCAGTGTAGAATGACGAAGGAGGAAGGGTGACCTGCATAAAAAGTGTTTTGGTATAACACTCCCTTTACAGCTGATTTACGGTAGGTATGTGTAGAGTGTTATTAAGAATAACAAATACCTTTGTGCGTTGCTTGCGCAAATTGTCGATGTGTTGTCCAACCTTTCATTACTCAGCCTCTCATCGGTTCTGTTTTCACTGCACATCTATTATTCTATTTCAGGATCATGTCCGCTGTAAAATGGGGGGGGGGGGGGGGAGGGAAGGTCCGGCCTATATTATCCCCGAAACTGCCGCGCTGATGTTCAAAATGCAAACGGTTATCGATATATCGACGATCTATGGGCAAGCGAAGATCCACCAGTTTTATTGTGATCAGTTTCATAAGTCTGAGTGCTGCCTATTACAGAATATCTGACAGTAATCCAAAGGAAGCGTCATCTCTCCCTCCCCCTCTCTCTCTCTCTCTCTCACTCTCTCTCTTTCTCTCCCCTCTCTCTCTCTCTCTTTCTCTTTCCCTTGCTCTCTCTGTCTCTGTCTCTGTCTCTGTCTCTGTCTGTTTCTCTGTCTCTGTCTGTTTATCTGTCTCTGTCTGTTTATCTGTCTCTGTCTCTCTCTCTCTCTATCTCTATCTCTATCTCTATCTCTATCTCTATCTCTATCTCTATCTCTATCTCTATCTCTATCTCTATCTCTATCTCTATCTCTATCTCTATCTCTATCTCTATCTCTATCTCTATCTCTATCTCTATCTCTATCTCTATCTCTATCTCTATCTCTATCTCTATCTCTATCTCTATCTCTATCTCTATCTCTATCTCTATCTCTATCTCTCTCTATCTCTCTCTCTCTCTCTCTCTCTCTCTCTCTCTCTCTCTCTCTCTCTCTCTCTCTCTCTCTCTCTCTATCTCTATCTCTATCTCTATCTCTATCTCTATCTCTATCTCTCTCTATCTCTCTCTATCTCTCTCTCTCTCTCTCTCTCTCTCTCTCTCTCTCTCTCTCTCTCTCTCTCTCTCTCTATCTCTATCTCTCCCTCTCTCCCTCTCTCTCTCTCTCTCTCTCTCTCTCTCTCTCTCTCTCTCTCTCTCTACTGTAGCCCTCACTCAGAGGTTTTCTAGTACACGCTTTTTGCTCGTCTATCAGCACTTCCTGTGAATTTCGTAAACCCGCTAGCACAAGGCCACAGCTTTAGGCAGGGGAGAGGAGATATTCGCTGGCAATGAGCCAGGCCTTGCACTTGAAGTTATGTTTATGCCGGTTGTTTGATTGCTGCCCAAATGGCAAGGCTAGGTCAAAGTTTGCGTTAACCCACGCCCCGGGAGCCCGCGCTGGGAACGCTCCCCGCTGGGTGGTGGGGAAAGGGGTAGATTCTGAACCCCGAGTCTAACTTTCGAACGGATGGTCGTAGAAAGACGGAGACAGCTGCAATCAAAAGCTCTAACTAAGACGGATTTTTTAAGACAACATTTTTGCCTATGTACTATTGGACACAGGTCCGGTCATGGTCAAACCCAGGATGACTTCTATAATATTGGCTTAGGAGCCCCATTGGCGAACAGTGGATTTAAATTGATCACGCAGAGCATCAGAGCGTATTAACCCGCGCGGGGCTGGGGGGGGGGTAAATTTTACCCCCCCTCGCGAATTTTTGCGATATCTAAAAAACGGCGGCGCGCAGCGCCGCCAAACTTTCAGTACCTTTTCTTACATCAATTTGACACGTTCCCTGAAAATTTGAGCGAAATCCGTCGGAAAATTTTTGAGAAATTGACGTTTTAGTGACGTCATGTTCGCCATTTTCGCCTCAAAAACGGCAAAAGTTCAAACGCCGCTAACATCTTCATTTTTAAAGGAATCAAGACGTAACAAAAAAGGTTATACGTAATTTTACTTTGTCTATCAAATGGCTATCTCGGTTTTTTTTTTGGAAATTTTGGATTTTGTCCTAAATTTTTTCAAAAAACTAACTTTTTTGGGAAAATCATTATAAAATCCAAAATTTTGAGTCTATCGAAAAAACCGGAATATATGTCAGAGAAGTGGTCTATGTGCACCTACATACCAAATTTTAGAAGAATCGGTTCAAAATGTGGGAGTTATTCAAAATTTTATGACGTCACAAACACAAATTTTTTGAAAAATGACTTTTTTGGAAGTTCTAGACCTCGTACGGAAACAAAAATAGCACCATTCGATTCGCCGTGAAAAACTGCATCAGATAGACATCTTTTTAGGCCTTAACAACCAACTTCAAAATTTGACCTCACTTGACCTGACCTTGACCTGACCTCGACCTGAAATTCATCCAGAGGTGGTCCATATCACTTATTGAGTGTGCCTATTGAATTCTATGAGTAAAATGACCCATAAAACATGTGTCGCACATGCCCTTTTCTATATTTTGTTTTTTGGTGACCTGACCTGACCTGACCTGACCTTGACCTTGACCTCTGAATGATATTGTATGCAACGAATATTGTCTTGGTAGCCTAAGAACACGTTTTGGGCGATCAGTCTCAGTCCATGACTCCATTCTTCGGTAACTACGGTGCAAGGCCGATACTGTAGAAACTTGTAATTTGTACCCTTGACCTGACCTTGACCTTGACCTCAAACTTTAAATTAAGTACATGTTTTTAGTAGTTCGTGATGAGAGCTTTCGATTGGCGTTTGAATTTTCCAAATCGGACCATTAGTTCGGGAGATAACAGGGGGGGTAAAATTTACCCCCCCCCCCAGCCCCGCGCGTTCGGCTGGAGACCCCAGCCCCGCGCGGGTTAATATGCTACCAAGAGAATATGTATTGCATATAATAGCCGTTTTCAAGACGGCCATCTGGTACACATTTGGTGCACATCTGGTGCAGATCAGGTGCAGATTTGGTCAAATCAGGTTCAGTGTGTCTCTTACTAGCTATCAGCTAGGGTTACACAATTGCTTTTATGCCTGCTTTGTCGTATTATCAGAGAGCATCATCGATGATTAAAACACTTAAATAAATTCATAAAATGAAGATATTCGCTGTAAAAGAGATTAGGTGCAGATTCGGACAAATTAGGTGCACTCGCCGGATAGACCGTCGTGAAAATGGCTATTGTCATGCAAAGGTCAAGGTCAAACACAGATCAGGTTATCAAAGACGAACTATTGAATCAGAATGGGATATGTGCGGTACATGTATTGTGAGTCATATAACTCAATGGACACTAGTGATATGTTATGTACCATATTTGGATTCAGTTAAGCTCGAGGTCAGGTGAAAGCCACGTAAGTTAGGTCAAATTTCGAAGTTGGTTTGTGATTCGTGCAGAGAAAAAGAAAGGTATCACAAGGGGATTTATAGGCACAGGAGGGACAAGGAAAATCAGCGGGAGCGCTTGATCCGCGTGTAGTGATACACCCTAATGGACACATTTTTATCTCATTAGACCTGACCTCGACCTAAGCTTTACACAAATATGGTTCATATCAGTTATTGGGTAAGCCCATTCAGGTATGTGAGTAAAATGACACAATATGTGTCGGCTATCGCACATATCCTGTTCAACAGTTTGTCTTTGGTGGCCTAACCTGACCTTGACACTGACCTTGACCCTGACTCTTACTTCTGCGTGACTTTTGCAAGCGATGCATCTTGTCTTGGTAGCTTAACCCTCGCCGGACCTATTGGTTTTCTACATACGCGCCGGCCGAGGGGGGGGGGGGCGGGTACGACCCCCCCCCTCGCCGTTTCGCCCCTGGTGGAGCTAGCGCGTCGCGGAAAAAACGAGCGTGTGCGCCGTTACGAGACGCAGAGATTGGTACCCGAGTTTAAGGTCCTAGGTTAACCGGTGACCTCTGAGGTCAGGTCAAGTGCCCCAAGGTACGGCTCAGTTTTTGGTGAATAACTTCGCAAAAAACGGCCGCAGAGCGCCAATTTTGGCAGCATCGTGTTCGCCTCGCTCAGGCGCGTCGAATGATATACTTTTTGTCCGGGTCAGGTCAACTTGGGGTGTTGACCTCAGGTCAAGGTCAGGTCAGCACCCCCAGGTCACGAAGTTGGTCGAAAGAGGTCATGTCGCATATCATTCGATTCGGCAGGCCTTCCTGAGTCCATTGGTGACTTTCCCGACTCGCTAGCTCAATTTGATCAAGAGTTATTGACGAAAAACTAATATGACCTTGATGACGTCATAAATGACGTCACGCAAGGTCAACATTGCAAAAGTGACGCATCTAACCTTGCAAGGAATGCATCAAATCACGAGTATGTGTGCTTGAGATAGTTGGAGATCGTTCCCGGCGCCAGAATAGCAGTTTTCATTTTTCCCCATTGACTTATAATGGTGAGGTGAAGGTCACGAAAATGACCTGACCTCATATGACCTTTAGGAAAATCCAAGATATACAAGTTGTGGGACTCATAATGGATACTAGATCCTGCAAGTTTCATTTCCCTGTGACATCTCCTCTGGCAGTGAGGGCGTTGCGAAGTTGCGACATCTGAAGACCGTGCAGAGGTTCACTTATGACGTCATAGGTCAGTGACCTGAACTGACCCAAAAATGCGGTTAGTGTCAAAAGATCCGGCTTGGATCAAAGGTCAGGTATGCCAAGTTTCAGCTCTCTATCGCCAGCGTGCTCGGAGCTATTGCGAAAAAACCCTATGGGGGGGGGGCGGCACCTGCCCCCCCCCCCCTCGGCCGGCGAGGGTTAAGAATGCATTTTAAGCAATCAGTCTCCGTGTGTTCTACACCATTTGGGCTCAACAGGCAGTAAATTAGAACTTGCAGTGTTTCTTCTGACCCGATTTTGACCTGACCTGTTACCTACAGGCAAATAATTGGTCTCCAAAGGTTCGTCCTGCTGAAAGCATTCGATTACCGTTTTCGCCTTCTTGCTACAACCATCCGTTCGGAAGTTAGTTAGACGATAGGCAAAGGCAAAGACTAAGACGAGAGGAACCCCTTCCCCTCCCACAACGCGTTCGGGCGCGTTCGGCTGAATACCACAGCAGGGCGCGCGCGGGTTAACCCGCGCCGCGTTGGGGGAGGCCGAAACGACCCCCTCTCCTTTTCAGTCGATGTCTCTCAAAGTGTGGCAAATATCGCCACGAAACTTTCAGAACCCCACGGGCATCAATTTTACACCTTGTGACCAATGTCTTTCCAAAACGTATCATAGCTTGGCCATAAATGACGTCAGAGTGACGTAATGTTCTGTCCTTTTCAACAAAAAAGGTTTTGCGGGAAGAGCTGTGATGGCTACAGTTTTGGAGATGGGGAAAATGTTTAACATACGAGAAAGGTAAACATTAAAAAGGTAAAAAGGTGTAAAAAGGTTGTAAAATTAACAAGGCTACAAAACTACTATCTCGGGTTTTTAAATGCTTGGATTTTGGCCCCCAAAGCACAAAAAAGTGTTTTTTTTTTAGATATAATACCCAAAACACAAAAATTATCACAATTTTGAAGAAAAAAAACGAATATATTTTATAGAGCTATTGGTCTGCTCATAATTTATGCCACATTTGAGCTCGATAGCTCTATTTTTGGCAAAGTTATGGCGAAAAAAATGTTCAAAATATATGAAGTAAAATTTTCAAATCCAATTGTTTGCCGTTATAGAACATGCAGAGTAAGACGAAGACCACCATCGGATTCCCTGTGATGAGCTGCATCGAATAGATACCCTTTTAATGCAAAAATATCAACTTTGAAATTTGACCTTTTTTACCTGACCTTGACCTGAACGCCATAACGGAACCTAAACCGACCTTAAAGGGACTATCCCACCTTTAACATGGGGTTTGAGTTGAGATAGCCAAGTTTGCGGCGAGGTTCAGAAACCACTATCTATCCAGGCTGCAACCCCCGCGGCCTCTTGGTGTTGAAGAAATTCGTTCCCTTCATTTGAAAATGGGCCTTGCGCAAGACCCTATCTTCAACATGGAGCGACCGTTAGTGGGACGTCACCTCGTTTAGTCATTCTGATTTAAATTGGTTTGTTCGTTGAAAAATCGCTTAAAACTTGGTCTGAACTTTGTTGTGGTGCCTACAGAGTAAAAGAATCAGCTTTATGACAGTAATGTGGCCTGGGGAAGGAGGTAATTTTGGGCTGTGACGTCACATATTTGAAAGTTTGTGTTTGGAATATGGGAAGCCTAAGATGTTTAATGAAAAATAAATGCCAGAACCGTGTTCCTGGTCATCCAATCTATAAAGTCGGGCACAATTTAACCCGCGACCGCCTGGGGGGGGGTCGGATCCGACCCCCCCCCCTCCGTTTTTCTTAAATAACTCATGAACCACTTTCGCTATCTACTTGAAACTTGGCATACCTTCTCCCCTATCAATTTGACGTCTCCTGTGCAATTTTTAAGAAAAATTTCCAATTTTTTTTAGATATATCGATTTTAGTGATGTAACTACATGGCGTTTTTAGTCAAAAAGTGGTAAATGTTTAAAAAATCGCCAAAAATCAGGGTTTAAAGCAAATTGCAATTTAAGGACATGAAAAGACGCAGCTCAACGAGTTCTTTAAAATGGCTATCTCGGATTTTCCATAAAATGCGTTTTTCACCCCTCAAAATTCAAAAAACTATATTTTTGGAAAACAGCTAATAAAATCCAAAATTTTGGGAATTTCCAAAAAACGGAGTATATGTTGTAGAGCTCTATTAGAACATTAGATACCCCAAATTTCAACTTTCTATCTTGATTTTTGACCCCCAAATTGTAAAAAATAGCTCCAACATGCATAGGGCATGGTGACGTCATAAGCATTTTCGTGAATTAGAGGCACTTCTGAACATCGCATGTGAAAACAAATGGCACCACTAGATTCCTGGGACAAAGCTCGTCTAGAAAAGTGCATTTTTATGTCAAAAATAAGTTGAAAAATTGACCTTTTTTCTCAGCCCTCGTATAGTAGGTATAACCGATTTTTTATGCTTCCAATGCACACTTATCACCAGCACAGTGACTTGGGGTCACATATAACCATTACCATCGGATTCGGCGTGAAAAATAAGCCATAAAACATGTGTCGCCTGCCCATGTAGCAGAAATTGAAAACCGTGACCTTTCGTGACCTGACCTGACCTTGACCCGTACTTAGTATGACCCCTATACGCACATGGTACCTTCACTAGGCCTTTGAGGTCATTTTTGGTGAGTTTCGAGTAGCAGCTATCGATTCCGCTGTCCGTAAGCCGATTCATGCAAACCCCTGAATTTGACCTTTGACCTGACCTTGACCCGAGAGTTGACCTCAATCTTAAAATCTTAAGAGTGCTTTGGGAAGGTCTCGTAGAGACCTTTCGAACGCCGCCTCGCGGGGCTCGATACGACCATTGGTTCTCGAGATAACAGGGGGGGGGGTCGGATCCGACCCCCCCCCCCCCCCAGGCTGTCGTGGGTACGGAAATAGCCCAGGCGGTGCCGGGTTAACTGGTTTTAACAACATTTTAGAAGGTGGGATAGTTCCTTTAATGATCGTGTAGCCCACACCATTGAATTTAAAATGTAAAATTGGCCATAAGACATGCATCACGCGACCGTAGTACAGTTGAATGCATAATTGTGACCCTTTGTGATCTGACCTCAGAGACCTGACCTGGCACCAGTGACCTAAGCAGCATACGGATTAGACGACCAACGCTGCATCGATGATTTTCGATAAATATGCCTTTTATTCGATGTTATAACGCATTCCTTAGAAGGCCCATAATCGGTGAAAAAATGCGACCTTTGACCTGACCAGTGACGTAATCGGTTGCACCTAGGTCAACGAAACGCGGTCACGAGGTAGTTCTCTGGTGACGCTACCGAACACCGTTTGAATTTGAAAATCGGTCGGTAGCTTTCCGAGATCTGAGGGGGGGGGGGGGGCAAACCGGTGACCTCTGAGGTCAGGTCAAGAAGCCCAAGATTGGATTTGATATTTGGTGAATAAATTCGCCAAAAATGGCCGCAGAGGTGCGATTTGGGCATCACTGTATCCGCCATGCTCAGGGGCCTCAAATGATTGGTGCTCTTTGTTTAAGTGAGGTCAACTAAGGGTGTTGGACTAAGGTCACACCCTCTTATATCACGAGCTTGTCGAAAAAGAAGTCACATAGCAGTTGAGTTTGCAGTCTTTTTAAGTCTATTGAGCTTTCCCAACTCGCTAGATAAGTTCGATCGGGAGTTATTGACGTTAGCCCTCGCCCGTAAACGGTGTTTTGCCACCTTCGCCCATGCAGGGGGGGGGGGGTTGGTGCGACCCCCCTGGTGTTTGAAAATGGAGCGTCGTAGAGCTTAGCGGAAAGACCACCGGATTGCTCTGAACGAGATCTCGCGATTGGTGGTATATTTTTTGGTCCTAGGTCAACATTTGACCTACTTATTACCGGTCAAAGGTCAAATTTTCGGGAAAAATCTAACTTTTTCAAATTTCCGCGCCGATTGCGGCCAAAACGGTAAGAGATATCGACTTACAACCTTCACTATAGTGATCCTTGATCAATTCTCTATCGTTTGGTGTGTATTTCGATGTCATAACTCTAAAAATGATGCGTTGGGAGCATCGGAAGTCTGCAAGGTCATTTGTACATTGGGTCACGTCAGGCGTGTGACGTCACTGACCTGACCCTGACCCAAAATGAACTACAAGAAACAACCGACGATGCCTGAAATGGATAGCAAATTCGAATTCAGGGCATCAAAATACCCCGAAAAGGCATACAAGTGCAAGAAGTCATTACAGGTCAACCGAGGTCACTGACCTTACCTTGACCTTTAGTAACCTTCTAAATGTCAACGGACACTGTGCCAATGTCAAATCAGCCAGTTGTGATTCTAAAACAATCCATCAGTGTGTCAGGTCAGTCGGCATTTATACCAATGTGAAGCAATCTCCAATTTAGCGTAAATCTGGCCGGAGGTTGCTCCCTTTATGACGTCATAACTCCGTGACCTGACATAACCTTGACAAAAAAAAATATCAAAAGTTGCGCAAAGGATGCCCCAGAGGGTACTGAAAATTTGAGCAGGCTATCTGAAACGGTTCGGCGTGTAGCTAAGAAAACCTCAGGGGGGGGGGGGTTGCACCAACCCCCCCCCCCTCCCTACATGGGCGAGGGTTAAATTTCGATTAACTATGGAGATGTCATATATAACCTCACGCAAGGTAAACAATATAAACGTTAATCATCGGACCCTGCAAGGATTGTATTGACTCACGATTCCATGTCACTGTGGTAGTCTTATATTACATATTTCCGTCGCCAAAACAATAGATTCCTCATTCCATAGTTCACCACTGCCACTGATATGATGGTGAGGTGACGTAGTCGACCAGTCAGGCGACCCTAAAAAATCCGAGCTATACAGGCCACGGGTGTTATCTGTAGAAACCCCTCTGGCACCGAGGGCAAAGCTGTCATATTTTAAGGCCGTAGAGACTTTCACTTATGAAAACGCGGTTGGTGTCAACATATCCGGGTTGAAACAAATGTTATATGTGTCATTTCGTGAGGATGCTGCCTTTCTCAAACCTATTCAATGCATGTACATATACACTTATTATAAAGTTTTTGAAATCCCCGAGAGGTGAAGAATTAAGTCTGATCGTTTTTTTTTTTTTGCAGCACTGCAAAGAGCATACCACAAAGAAACAAGAACTGTTGAACGGATGCAGCAAGGAAGCTCTTATTAAAACACAGGATGTCAGGGTAAGATCTTTCACATTTTTCTTTTCATTACAATTAGAACATCGTTATCTATAAAAGTTGAGGCCTGGCACGTTCCAGGGTTGCGCAGTCTTTCTGTGGGTCGATGAGAGAAAATTGAACTGCGCTCCTTTTGAACGGAATTCAATCTGAGCACTCCAAACATCATGTTGCAGGTAAACGTGAAATATGCAATTCGCAAGAATTACATCTGTGACCCCTCATCATGTCCCTAAGGTATAAAAGGTTTTCAGCAGTTTTTCGACAACTTTTGATAAGGACGTTCTTAGCGATGAAAACAACTTGGATGTGTTCAGCTTTGCGATACGGCTCGACTGATACGCAATGTGACCTTTCCAGGTCAGGGCATGACTTTGAACCTAGAATACGTTTTCAAGTTGACCTTTGTAGGCCAAATTATCCCGCGCCCCATTGGAGACCATGTATTTCCACGCCCTGCTGGGGGGGGGGGGGGGGTCGGAGGGGGATCAATTAGCTGTGAACGACGATCTACATAAATGCATTTATTTCGTTTCAGGTGTGTCCCCGTCTGCACGTCAAGAGAAGTTCGGAGCCTATTTTTGGTAACTATCCTCCTCTTGACAGTATTCCTCTGGCTTCACTTTATTCTCATTCGTAAGCCACCTATAAATAATGTCTCGCATACACTCAACCTTAGTACCGTTGAGAAAACGATTCAAGCGCGGCAAATACACTTTCCTCAGAGACGATCACCTTATCTCACAAGCGGGGTGAGCCAAAATCATCTAGCACAAGATCCTAAGAAACCACTGCTTGTTCTTCACTGGACAGAGCAGCCTGGCTTCTACTTCCATGTGAACAACTCGTCATTTTCCGGCTGCCCGGTCAGCAGCTGTTCAGCCACCTCAGATCGTAAGCTACTGTCGATTGCTGACGCAGTTGTCATCCATGGACACAGAATAAATATGAGCAATCTACCTAGCCGGAAACGGCCACACAAGCCCTATGTGCTAGTCTGGCGCGAGGCTCCGCCGCAGACTCCGTCGCGCCTCCCGCTCCGGAAACTGGACGGCTACTTTGACCTGATGATGGCGTACACGAGGGACGCGGACGTGCTGTTTCCATATGGACTGACGGGTGAAGGCAAGCAGACGGAAAAGGTTCCGCCTTTCAACGCCAGTCGCGGGTGAGTCGATTTCAGCATACTGCATTATGTAAAAGGCATCTCCATAAACTCACAAATCAGAGTTCAGACATATCTTTGTATGTAGAATGTTTCGAGAGATGATATAAATATTATCATTTCTGTATCAGGGATATAAACAGTAGCCTTCCACTGTTACTCCCACATGTTTGATCAACCTGACCGCCCCCCCCCCCCCCCACTACCGTCGCTGCAGGGTGCGGCCAGTGGCCTGGATGGTGTCCCACTGTAAAACCGTGTGTAAAAGGGAGCAGTACGTCGCCCAGCTACGCCACCACATCGCAGTGGACACATTCGGCAAGTGCGGGGAGCGGCGGTGTCCCGAGCACATAACCGACTGCTACCGGCACCTGGCCGAGACGCACCTCTTCTACCTGTCCTTCGAGAACTCCCTCTGCGACGACTACATCACAGAGAAGTTCTGGCTGGCGCTGCAGGCCGGCATGGTGCCAGTGGTACGCGGTCCGTCGCCGCAGTCCTACCACCGCGTGGCACCGCCCAACTCCTTCATCCACGTGGAGGAGTTCGCCGGGCCCAAGGCTCTGGCCGCCCATCTGCTGGCGCTGTCTCGTAACCAGACGGCATATGAGGAGTATCATGCATGGCGTAGCTCGCACAAGTTGCAGTATCCCCGCCCCATGTGTAATCTGTGCCACCGGCTGCATTACGGTGATCGGCAGAAGCAACTGCACTTGTCGAAACTTTGGTCCGTGGCGGACCTGTGTCACGAACCTCGCGACCTTGACGAGGAAAGTTCATCTTGACTCAGGCTAAATATGTGGGGACACTTGAATGACATTACTGAAATATGTACAGTTTGGTGCATAAGAATGGAGATAGCGTGCGTTAAAGGGCCATAGTCATTAAATGCCTATGAAGAGATGGGGGGGGGGGGGTATCCTATCATCATGACTAGATCAGTAGGTATATACTTGAGGGGATCAAATGCTACGCATATGGTTCACTTCAAACTCAATTTTAGATATTATGCCCGGCCTTAGGTTAGTGACGCGGAGAGACCAAGCGGTTGTCTCTTCAGTCACGTCTTCATCCGCTGTTGATCGATGACATTGATTCACGTGTTGCGCTATCCGTCATGCGTTAGTACGTTGCAATTACAATCGAACGAAGTAGTTGTCATGGAGCAGGACATCGGTCTGAAAGCGACTGCCTTCATCGCCTAGCAGGTTCCTCCTGATTCCTAAGTATTACAAATAGAGAGATGAAAGATGATGTACGTACCTGACCTTTGATTGAAGCATGATAAAAAAAACAGCAATGCAGTGTCATTCCTCAGGGGCGAGGCCAAACTGTTCTGTTTGAGAAGATTTCAACAGGATGGTTACAACCAAGGAGAAGGCAATGAAACTTCGCGCTCCGGCGCTCGGGATATCTAAAATCTGTGTCTAAAATATTCGTCAGAGGAGGAGGGAGAGGGGGGGGGGCGTAAAAGGCCCCCGCGCAGATTCATCCAAAGGGACGCGTCGGGTCTTTGTTATTCTTTATTTTTAATCAATATACTTGCGACAATATATACCAATATACTTGTCTTGAGAGCGATTGCCGTAGTTCAGCGCCGCCAAATTTGGCACAGCCTATGGGGCAACCTTTTTACATATGACCTGAAAATTTCAGGTCCGGGTGATCTTGGGTCAGGTCACCAGGTCAGAAAAACCGGTACAAGGTCATGGTCAATTTTCAGTTTTCTTTTTGCACCTGTCCAACTCACAGTTTTGCACTGATTTCCTTCAAACTTTCAGGATGTGCTAAGTTCACCGAGTTGTATAACATATAGTTCGGGTTTTTTTAGGTCGCTGACCTGAGGTCAGTTAGAGGTCATTACGTCGTAATGTTAAGCCTATGGGAAAATACTAAATTCGAAAAATACTGGAGATATCCGCTTCGTTCTATCACTTTTGTGTTTTGAAACCACAGTACTTAACAGCAGGTCACTTGGTGCTTCTTTGTTTGGTGTAATTATCCATGGGTCAGGTCAAATGAGGTCAAATGAGGTCAAATGACGTTTTTGCCAATAACTTGGCACATGATGACGCTAGAGCTTAAAAAATGGTACCATTGTGTTCCTGGTGATCAGCCAAATCGAATGATATGCGATATGATGCAATTTCGTTAACTTTAACTTAATTTATTAATTTAAGTTTACTTAAAATTTAAGAAAAACTTTAAGTACACTTAAGCAAGTTAAAAAGTATATCATTCGACGCGCCTTGACGTGCTGAGTTCACTGGTGCTTTTCTTTTTGCTCTATCTTAATTAGATCAAAAGTTATAAGCGAAAAACTTTTGACCTGTTTTTAGCGAAATTTTTACATTTATACCCCCAAAACCCCCCTAAACATTGACCTAGAGCAACCAAATTTGCACAGGAGTGAGAACTCCAGGGGGCCCACCTACCTACCAAATTTGGTGTTTCTAGGTGCCATAGGAGCCAATCGCGAGGGGGGGTCGCATCGACCCCCCCCCCCTGCCAGGCCGTGTTATGAAAAATGCCCTGCCAGGGCGAGGGTTAACACAAGGTGTCACGGTGTCACATTGATGCCGCTAAAGGTACCGAAACTTTCGTCTCAATACGTAAAGTGGTTTGGAGGATATTGCCGAAGAACGGGAATGTGCGGGTTAATCGATCCATGCTATTCATGATCATCAACGTCATACAGAATCTCTAGGTCTGCCAAAGCTACTAAGCAAAATAAACAATAGTTAGCCATCACGGTTCCGAATTTGTGAAATTGACGCCGCCCCCACTGCCCCCCCCCCTTCGCCGGCCACGCCGCCGCACCTATGGCTACGTATTTGAACATACTTGGGCAATCATTAGTTTTCTACGGGTTTGAATGTAATGCTTTAGCTACCAATGAGCTATGTATCATTGTATCAACCGCTTTGTGCAATAGGTACTTTTGCCACTTATCCTGCTCTCAGTCTCCGAAAAAGCATAATAAGCTTATTTTAAGCCGACAGGCTTGTACTATCGTCAATCCAAGCACACTGCAAACGTGAGCTGTTTCCTGTGCTAATGTCATACTGAGTGTTTAAACCAATATTGATTCTAGACCATATGCAAACATGCTATCTGTTTCTCTAGGTGCACCTTCAAGCTCGTGCAACTTTTAGCTCAGATAGCATGAGAGTCCCGCTTTGATTTTCGACGTATTTATTTGCCGAAATGGATAACCAGCGCCCCGATAAGGTCTCAACTCCCAGCCAGCCTCGTCGTGATGGAGCAGAGGTGAAACTGCGCACATCGACTATTTCCGAAAACTAAAGGCGAAAGGCAGTCGCAATCGGCGGAATCACCGTCAGAGTCCAGCATCAACTTCCCCTCCCCGGCCAGGCAGGGTAAGTAAAGTAACAATTTAGGCATATTCGGCAAATACCTACATACCTATGAGCTGGTAGGGGAAGGCAGATGGAAGCCATGCGGAAAACAAAAATGGAGAATTAGTAGTTTTGAGGATACTCGAGCGCCCTATGGCTATCACCATCAAAAGCACCCCTGGACTTGAAATGAGTTGAAAAGTTCACATAGAATGATGATCCTTATTTCGGTGGATGTCGTCTGTAAAAAATGAAATATTGTAATATAATTCGGAACAGAATGGGGAATTATTGAAACGAGTCAGCCTGGATCAAACAAATCAAACAATGATTCCGTATTCAATGCAACCAAAAGTGGACAGGGTCAGGCACTTCCATAACTTAATAGTTTGGGGAGTGGGCTGACAGTGCAGCCGTATATGTGCAGCGGCTGAGGCTCTGGGTCTACCGTACAGTAGGTCTATTAAAAAAGTCCCCAGCACCAGTGGGCGCTGCCTTCGCTGAGCCGAACCCCCGTCTGCCCGTCCCATATCGCGCCGGGCTCAGGTCAGGTAGGGTCAGCGGGACCGCTCGGTCCGGCCCGCGGGCGGTGGACGGGCGGCCGGTAACGCTTTCCGCCAGCCAGCTGTAGAATCCAACAAACGGGACGGCCACCGCTCAGCGCCACGAAACCGGTGTTAAAGAATGGCAGTAGATTGAGTTTTATTCACGATCGATGGCAACACATCGTATTGAATAGACTTGTGTTGCCATGGCAGTAGATGTTCATGGCCACAATGATTATGAGATAGTCATTGTTAGCCCGTGCCCCACAGCCCACAGGAATGCCTAGACTCTCACGCCCTGTTGGAGGGGAAATGGGGATTGAGCATCATTCTTATAACTCAGCTTTGGGCATCTAATTGGTATTCGAAGTAGCGTCAAAAGAAGCAAAAAGAAGAAGAAAAAAATATTCTATCAATTTTGGATAGGGTCATAGCCAGAGGTCATGTCACTAGAGGTCATCGATGGTAAAATTTTGCTCAGACAGGGTGCGTTGCGCGCACCGGTGCATTGGGTTTCCAATTTCCATAGAAACATCAACAGACTCAGAAGCTCGCAACAGGGGCGCGGGAACTACTTTCCGACTGGGGGGCACACAATAACAGAGATCAACCTAGGGTCCCCCCAAATCTAGTTTTTTCACCAGTTTTAGGCCACTTATTTTTCATCCCTAGGCTTTTTCAACAAAAAAGAAAACATTTGCAAAGAAGTGTGGTATTCCGTCTCAAAGCTGTGGGGGCACTGCCCCCACGGCCCCAGAGTTAGGGGGCAAGCTGCCCCCACTGCCCCCCCCCGGCTACCGCGCCAATGGCTGGCAACGCTAGCGTGGAGCCGAATTCATATCAACCGCCGCAACAATGCAGCAGCGCAGCGCAGAGTGCTGCAGCGCGGGGCCGTGAAACGCCGCCCAGGGCTATCCATGTGTCAGGGCAATCCAACCCACGTGATGGGCTCGGCCCCAGCGGAGCATGAGGTCCAGGACTCCCGCCCAGGCCCCCTGTCTCCCCCAAATTCTATCATCCTTCCCACTCTGAAATTGACCGAAAGAGCCTAACCTAACACAACAATCAGCTCGTTTACCGCTATGTCTGAAATCTGAATAATATTGTCAGATTTAATTAGGGTCAACGGCTTAGCATGTAAATAACAACTGCCACCATCGGTATTATGAGAAAACCAATAACTTTTCCACAAACACTTAGAAGTTTTTAGCTTAAAACTTGCATTAAATTAATTTTACCAGCCTCGTGTTCCTCTTATCAAAACGCTTCGACTGAATCAAAAGTTGATCTTTAAAGGTCATTTGAAAAATTTGGCCTATGTTCAAAGACATGACCCGACCAGAAATGGTCATAATGCATAGCAGGATATTAGATCCGTATCGTGGAACTTTACGATGATTTCATAACTTAAGCATGTCTATCAAAAATAATTATTACATGGCTCATATGTAAGCTGGGTGTGTGAACATGCTTGCGAGTATGTTGAACGCAACTGATAATGTTCTGTTGGCCACAATTTCTATATTTAATTTATCCTCCCGAATTTCATATTCTTGTTAATGACACCTTGACGATGTCGAGAAAAAAACGCTTAGGAGATTTAACAGCCTGAGATACATTCAGTATAAGGAAGGTTCAAGGGTGCTAGGTTCCTTCCGTCCTCGGTATCCTCAGGAAAAACCAATCCGCATCGCCCCTAGTCTTCATGCTTCCCTATGGACTGGAGGTCACCCCACCAGCCAAACTGTAGTTGATGTCGGATCCATTCCAGGACACATAATCCTCTTCGGGTGACCGTTTGGGAGACAGCTGGACCGTCCCGACAGGGCAATCGTCCCACGGGAACAGTCTCGCTTCCGCAGATCACTGTCGCTGGCTCGCACAACCCAATTACTACACCAGAACATAGTTATGTCATAGCTCTGCAAGGGCCTTTTCAGACCGAAAAAGATGGCCCCTAACAAAACAAACAATTTTCTCATTCAGTATTGTATCTCATCAAGCACCACATGTTTTCAGAGTGTTCATTATGCGTTCCGTCCAAAAAAGCGCAGTTCAATTTTCTCCCATTGACTTGAGCGATCTCAAAATTGACCCGGCCTTTCTGTCAACAATGTCAAACTTGCAAAGTAAACGTTTCAAATACATATACTGTTGCCCATTAAAATCGCTGAAAGTTCTGAAGCGATCGGTTAGTCGGTGTATTTAGATATGATGAGCACAGGAACTTTCCTTGAGGAAAGGTCACTTGACGTAGCCTGGTGTTATGACCTTGAATTGAAAGACTTGGGCGGGAAAAATGGGTCATTTGAAATCTTAAAATGCTAGATTTTAACAATAATTGCAAACACTATCCCGGCCAAATAGAGTGAGAAGGGAGCGATTCTCCGACCCCATGTTTAGCTCCTATAATTGAGCTCGAGCTGCTAGAGCCTCGCGGAGAAAAACGAGCGCTTGCGTCGTTACGTGACGCAGCGACTGGCACCCCATTTTAAAATATCAGTGACCTCTTAGGGCAGATCAAGGGCCCCAAGGCATTTGATCGGTTCTTGGTAAATAACTAAACACATTATCGTCATTTCGATACAATCGTGTTTTCTGTTCTCAGACGCGTCGAT